CCCACGACACATGTAGGCTAATTTATGGATATATTTTGTGAATGTGTCAACAGGATTTTTCCAAAATCAGATTTGGTACATAAATTTAAGTGTAGGGATGTGAAGAGGTTAAAAATGTTTCTTCAGCAGAACACTTTTTGACCTGTTTGACTTATATATTTTTTATGATATAAATTGACTCAATCATAGACCAATAGAGCTCCATGTTCAACATGACAACAACATCCCAGCATATTTTATGTTTCCCTTGCAGAAATTCTGGATTATATTGAAAGAGCTCTTTTCTCCATGGGTAAACCAACTGATACTATGGTGGTATGAAATCAAAGGGATTGCTGCTAAGCTGATGGTTGTGTCAATTCTGCAAAGTGGACCTTCACTGTCATTTCTTCACCCTGCTGTTTTCCAATATTTGTGTCAAGGAAAGCTATCATCAGTTAATCATGAAAGCACTCTAAAAGGAGCAGCAGTGAAGGTAAATAAATAAATGCTCAAGTGATTTTCCATTGTTTTTAGAGGGGGGGGTACCAAATATTTATCAGCCATGATTCATTTCATAAATTCTTTGGATACTTTCCAAAATAAAATGCAAGAAAAAGTCATTATTCATTGCTAATTATTGCTAATTAAAGAGTAGGGTTATTCAAGTAACAGGAAACATTTTGTTTCTGACTAGCTATTTCTTTTAAAGAATGTTACTGATACAGGATTTCTGATATTTTAAGCAGTTGTAGAGCCATGAGTTTCAAGTAAATCCTGTGAAATTCAACAAAACCTGCAAAATACCACAAATTAAGCAATAAATCTTGCCAAATACATGTTGCTATAATGTATTTGAAACTTACAATATATTTGAACTTACCTGGGCTGGTGGAGCTATTTACTTGCCATAAAATTGCTAAATTATCTTAAAAACATCACAAATCTGCTGGTTGTTCTGGGATTAATGTTGCAAAAAAGCAGACAGTGGTCACACTGTTCAAAGCTTTGCCACTGGTGCATTTCTCAAGCGCTTTGTTGTTAAATGAGCAAATGAATTTATCTGTTAAAAAGAACCTTTTGGTTAAATAAATAGCAAACTGTCCTCTATATTTCTTTCTTAGCGAGTCCAAATGAGTTGTACAACTTGTTTTTGTTTCTAAGGGAAACATGAATAAAATGTACCATATATTCTCTTTCTGTGGTAGGTTTTTTGGTGTCTTTTTGTTGATTGCTGCATACTGTGGCTTGCAAACTCTGCAAATTATGGAAGTGGAGTTTTGATGGTGCATGATGTAATCAAATGACAGTGAGCCTATGGTGTAGTGCAAATGACTTTTGGTTGGGTACATGTCAGCCTCTCTCTGATTTAGGCTTTCTAACAAGGTGCAGAGTGTAATATTATTCAAAGAAGAAAGACTCAACAATCTTTTTTTGTTAGGTGTATGCTCAAATCTTCAGGACTTACACTTAGGCTTCTGTGAATGTGTGTTTCCCCTGCAGAGGACTTTGTGAGAAGTGTGAGCATACAATGTGGACAATTTAACCACAGTTGCAGCGTAAAACTTTGCTGAGGTGAAGGGTCATCTGGATTATTGAAAATGCCTGCATTTTCTGATACCCCAGGTTTAATGTCGTGGCAAATAGTTGCAACTTCAGCATTCTTAAATTCACATATTCAATATCCTCTTGATTTTCCTCCATCCTAACTAATCATCTCAAGTGGTGCTCCCAATCCCAACATTTAGAATTCATTTTTTAATTCTCTTATATGCTGGTGTTCTTGAAATTGTCTTTCCGGTTCTGGCTTGCTTTTGCTCCTCTTCCTGTGGCCTTGAGCTTCTCTCTTTGCTTTTTTGACTTCTAACCCCATCATACAAGGGTTTCTTTCATTTTCACTTGTGTGCAAGAATGAACTGTTACAGCTTGCTGACTCAAACTCTAGCAAAGTTGCATAATCACAAGAGGGTTCTGAAAACACTTCCTTTCCTCTTTTTTTGATCATAATTTCAATATTTTCAAGGCAATGGCCTTTTCAGTTAGCTTCTAATGTTTTCTGTAATCTTTTAAGTTCCAGAAATAACTCGTATTCTGCACTGGCTTGTTCAAGTCTTTTGAACATGGTCTTGATTTTTCCACTAAGCTCAAGCAGTGTTTTGGTACTTCCATGCTGTTTCAAAAGATTTTTGTTTACATTACTGTTGCCTTTCATCATGATAACTTGGTGTTAGCCATTTCCCTTTGGGATTTCTAACTGTTTGAATGGTTAGGCCCAACAGGGATATGTAATTTGTCCTCATCAGCACACTGCAAGTGTTTTACATGGTACAACTCATATTTCTTTGTTGACATCTCAAACACTTCTTGCAACACCAAATTTGTATCATAAACATTCAATAGAAGGTACCAGACAACTTCAGTCTGCTACCACTTGTTACAGATGTTATCACAGGCAACTTTTTACAACAAATGATAAAGCAAATGTTAACTTCTTAGTTGCTTTATTTACAACAATGTGATGGTAATTTGAGATAAAGCAAGAGTGTAACAGTTATAAACAGAACATTAATTTTCCTTGAAACTCACTACTATGAATTTCATACCATATGAACTGCTATCAAAAATTATTTAATGGTTCATGAAAAGATATGTTTCTGGATAGCTAAATTCATGAGCAATAAGTACTTGGTGAAATCCTTGCAAAGGTATGCTAAAGCCCAGAAATTCTATGAGGTTGTGAAAATTGGTCAATGGTTAATCCAACACTGATTTCATAATAAGGTCATTTTCATGACCCCTGGAAATGACTCGTTACAAATGTCAACTTGGGTGTGCAGTATCTAATAATTATCACTGTGAATATTCTTCAACTTCTCATCCTATGTGTTGTGAGTTTAGCTGAATAAGGAATGAGAAATGTAAAAGTAATACCTATCTTTTAGCAAATTACAATTAAACTATCTAGCTTTGAAACTGTTTTTAATGAAAGAAGTGCCTTTGGCTGCAGATAGTCAGAATCAAAATGAATAGACATTTCAAAAAAATTAAGTTGAATTTATTTAGTTTTTAATAATTGTAATAAAAAACATTTATATTGTGCTTAAAAACTATGCACTTATTCAAAAGTGCTTTACATTACACCAATTACACCAAGTATTATAAACTAATATCATACACTTTCTTAAAGAGAAGTTCAGATAATTCTCCAACATAGCTAGGCTGTTACAGGATATGATTGGTTATGGCATTTACCAAAAAAAAGAAAAATAATACATGAATAAAGAAAATTTGACTGATGTAAAAACATATTGTTTTTAAAAAATGTTTCAGGTTACTTTAGCGTGTTTCTTTTGTTGGAAACAATAATTTCTCTGGTAATTGACAATAGGGAAAATGGATGAACAATCCACAGTATGTATACAAAGCAGTTAGATAGACTTGTTAATCAATGAGTATAAGGACTTCTCTTTCCCAAATATTCTTAGTCAACTCATGCTACTGAAAATGGAGTCAAATACAGGCCTGATCAACCATATTTCTGGTAAACAGGCTTACTCTTGGCCTGTACCACTGCAATGTTCATGTGAAAGGAACTACATGGCGTAGTCCTCAGTTGCAACTGTTAAAGGTGGTAAAACATTCGATAGAAGTGTGACAGTTTTTTGTCAAATTAATTGCCCACCATAGACCAAACTTGAAGTCAAATTGTTCTTTCGTAAATACATTAAGAGCTGTCCATGCAAATTTCTCTGAGGGAAAGTTATTGAACAGTTTGTTCAACTACTCAAAACTTCTTACCTGATTTGCAGTTGGCAAATAAACAATACTTGCTCTTCCTTTTTGGTGTTGGTTGAAAACATAAAGGCATTCACTGGGGTGCAGCTGTGCTTCAGTACTGTGTTGCGCAAACATTGCAGTGTTGTGCAAACATTGCAGCTACAGTTTGAAGGCATGCATGGAGAGCGGTTAGACCTCTTCATAGTGTGGTTCCAACTCTTTGAGGCCTTCATTGTGAAATGGATCTCTTTGTGTATTGTACAATAATAATAATGATAATAATTAATAATAAATATAAACAAATCAATCAAAAGTGAAATGTGTTGACAAATCTGAATCTATAAATGCAGATTTTAAGTTGATAATGTTTACAAGCTGAAAGTAAAAATTTATTTTATGTATTAATTTATGAGCTGCATTTATCCAGGCTGGCAAGCTGGATTGAATGGGAGCCTGCATAGAATAATGTTAGTGCAAAAAAGTTCAGCAGTTCTGAACATAGTATGTGAACTCTAAAGTCCAGGAAACAAGTATCTATGTTTGTAAGATTAGTCTGCAAACTAAGAGTGTCTCTAGCACATGTAATCCTGGAACTGTAAAGGTTTCCTAATGTTCCTTGAGCTTGATCTTGTTGCTGGTGTAGTTGTGCTAGTTGCACGTTCTGTGCTTGTTGATGATGAGGAAGTTTGTGGTACTCCACCTTCAGCTTCAGGTTTGTCTTCCTCTGCTACAAGCTTGGGCTGAGATGGTTTAATTGCCTGCCTGTTGTAGCGTAGCACTTCTCCACTTGTTTCTACTAGGTAAGACCTGTCTGAGAGTTTCTAACCCAGTGTTCTCCACAGATTTTGGAGTAGTCAGCCCAATTTGTAAAGTAGGCGGCGGGTGTATGGCGAGTGCCTGAAGGGCACGAGCCCCTAGGGGGGTCCGGGGGCATGCTCCCCCGGAAAATTTTCTAAAAATAGATCTCCGGAGATGCAATTTGAGGCATTTTGGGCACTCTGTGGCAGGAAAAAATGTGTAATTTTTCTGTCAGTTTTTGTTTATATTTGGAGTCTGTAGTGATAAAAGAAATTATTTATTTCACTTATTTGTCTCCCAATACCAATACAACCATTACTTATTAGTTCACAGCATTTATCCTTTTACTTCTCTCAGTGAATTCAAAGTGAAACTCGATTTACATAAGTTAAGTTGATAAAGTTTTGAGATAACTAATCATCTTCCATATCAAACTCAAAGTCTGAATCAACGCCAGATTCAACATCTCCCATATCCATGGCATCCAGTGCGTCATGACACAAATCAGTATTGCTGGCAACTGCCTGAGCTACAACCTGGACGTTAGCATCAAGTTCAGTTTCCACAGATACTTCGTTGTCTTCCTGGGCTGATCTAGAGGCCTGAAGGTCATCTGGAAATTCGACCTGTACTCCAATATCAGTCTTTGTGGCTGGTTGGTAAAGACTGCCTTCATGGTCTGATCCTCCAACCATTGGGAACTTGTTTAGTGATGGTAGATTTCTGAAGTGCGTCTTTCTCCAGACTTTGGTTGCTTCTACAAGCATCTCCTTGCACTCTTCGTCACCATGATCGGGACCATTTAGAGAAATGTGGAGCAGGCTGGCCATCATGTCATTCTTGAGTCGACTTCTCAACCTGCTCTTTACCCTCTTTACTGCACTTGCACCCCGTTCTACAACTGCATTGGACATGGGCTGGGTGAGGCAAATCTGAGCCGCATCCACAATTTGTGGGAAGTTGATTCTGTGAGCCACCTGCTCTTTAACGACTTTTCTTAAAATGAACTCAGTTGGAGAGAGGTCATCTTTTCCCCTGAGAACAGCAGAGGGTACCTTCCATGATGACATCAGGTACTTGAAGTTGTACCACTGCGCAAGTGTGTGATCTTTGTCAAACTGGAACTGCTTGCACAGCACGTTTACTTCATCCACACCATACTTCTTGAAGGCTGGATCTTCTGGCTTTGGGAGGCAGGTCGGATCGAAGATGGAAAATGCTTCAAGAACAGGTGCAGCCTCTTGAAATCTTCTATCTAGGTTCCTCTCGAGGGCAGTTGTGTAGTTTATTACTAGATTTTTCAGGAATGCCTCTACCTGGCCATCATCTTTAAGCTCCAGTTCCAAAGAAGCATAGTCTCCACCTGGTTGAATGGCTGTTTGCAACTCTGGAACAAGGTCAAAAGAGGACCGGATTTCAGAAATTCTGGATTTGGTGCTATCAAGTGCAGGTCTGATGGAGGTGTAGCATGTGTGATCTTTTTGGAACAGCTTGCTAAGGGTATTAAGATGAGGTAGAACTGCATTCAATAGAAGCATCGTGCCAACAAACTTGGTGTTGTTCATTCTCTGGAGAAGACCTTGAGCTGTAGCATCAGCTTCCTTAAACTGCCTCAATGTCTGCATCAGGGCAACAAGATTTCGGCAGACGCTTGATACACTTTGGCCAGTTGAAAGCCACCGCGTCCTGCAAGCTTTCTGTATCTTGACTGCCAGAGACTTTGACAGTTTTTTCTGTTTTGCAGGGTCATCATTAGCATTAGCCAGCTTTATTTTCTGAAGTGACACACAGACCTTCACAAATGCTGAGCAACGTTTTGGATACTCCAGCCACTTCCACAACTGACGAAGGGTAACTTCGATGGTCTGGATATACTTCACAGTGTCATTAGCATCACTGCATGCCAAGGCAAGCCTGTGATTAATGCAGTGACTGCGCACCATGATGCTACACACCTTTTGAAGCCTGGCACCAACACCATTATTTTTGCCAGTCATGACACTAGCACCATCTGAGCCAAAACCACAAACTAAAGCAAGGTTTAGACCACAGGCCTTCAGCTCCTCAGTGATGATCCTTGTGAGAGTCAGAATCTGCGGATTCTGATGTCTCAAGAACATCTTTCACCTCAAGAAAATCAAAATGTGTCTTCCCTTCCTCATCAACATAACCAACATAGATCAACAGCTGCTCTAGGGTAGCACAATCCGTCACCTCGTCAACTAAGATACTAAACCACTTGGCATCCTTGACCCTTTGAATCAGTTTCTCCTTGATAAGCTGACCAAGGAGGAGGCGCATCTCCCGCTGACTTCGTTCACTTGTATTTTTGAATTCTCGCATTTCCGTGACACCAATGTGCTCTTCCAAATCAATCAGGGAGAGAAGTTTCTTGTTAGCCACTTCTTCTTTTCCAAGCCAATAAGAGCTCAGGAATGCGTGGTAGGTTACTTTATCAGCCACCTCGTGAGCCACTTTATACTGGTTAGCCAAGGATGAATTCCTTCTCTCCAACTCACAGATTACTGTCGACGTATGTCCACTGGCTCTTGCATGGTCACTAACAGCACTATGCTTGTAGTTGGTGGATGGTGCTAAGTTGAATATGTTCTGTTTGTTATACTTGTTTTTGGTGTTATGAACACGGCACAGTAGGCAGAACATCCCTTCCCCTTCACAGTACACCAACCACCACATGCCTGAGATTAAGAAAAACAAAAACAAACAAAAAAAAAAACAGGCATTGTTTTTTGTAGTCATTGTAAAAAGCAGAACTGAATTTATAATAAAGTAAACATTTTTTTCAGAAAATGTTTTAATATTGACAAAACACTGTGTCATTTACCTGTTTTGTCGCAGAATGAAGTTTTTCTGTCAGTGAGCCATGAGTGTTTGAACATGTCCACTCCTTTCTTTTTCCCTTCTGTTGTTTTTTTCTGGCTTTGAATTCTGGCTCTTTCAACTTCAGATACGTCTGAGCATTTGCCACAACAGGTGTAGAAGCTATGAAGCTGCTTCTTTTCCATCGCATCTGAAAATACTCTTCTAACAGAGAGATTGCTTCTGGAGTTGGTAACATGTCCGGCATTAGATTTGTGCTTTCTTCAAGAGAACTTGGCCTTTGCTCTCCGCCAGCACTGCAGGAACTTTGTATGCATTGCTGTTCAGAGGTAGTTGCATTTTCAAGAGAGAGCTGCTGAGTACCAGATGAAGCTAAAATGGATGATTTAGAGTGGGGAAAAACAGATGACGTTTATTTTTTAACTCTATTATACAAAAATTAAATTTGTTTCAAAATTGAAAGCTTTCAAATCGAAGTTTTTGATTCTCCTTCTTTTTAATTTTACTTGATTAACTTGAATTCTTTCGTCAGGCGCGAAAACCAAAACTCTGTAGATGCGAAGAGACTGGGCCCGACTTTCAACATGGCCGCCATTTCTTGGTCGTGTGCGTGTGTTTACTCTTTACCGACAAGGAAGGAAATGTAAACTCGTGAATATCTACCTTGGTTTTTGTAATATATTGTGTTTCTTAACCTATAAGAGTTTTCACATGCTTGCAAACCACCTCGGGATGAAGTTATCTCGAACGAACCTACAAGTTTAACATTGCGCGACCGAACAGCTGATCGGATGGCACATGGTAATGTATGAGGACTTAAACCTCCTTTTAATAAACTTACCGATTTCTCTTGGTTCCTTGGGAATAAGGAAACTTGTTATTTTTCCTCTTTTCCCACTCATTTGATTTTCCAAGGATTTTCGCTTTGACATCTCCCTAAGACTCAATGTAAATTTTCTTGTCGTAATGACGGGATCGTACTGTCGATTTGTTCGCATCCACTCTTTCCGAAAAACGAACTGGAACGATGGAAATTACGAAATATTTTGACAGAATTGCGGCAAAAGTTGATGTTTAATTGACAGCTTCCGGCCAATGCACTTTAACACGATTATTTTCGGTGTAGATGTCTGTCTTCAGGTAAATAAGATTTCCATTGTTATCTTCCTGGAGCGTACTAGACTAAGCTATTGTTTATCGTTTCCTTCGGAAATAACATGAACGCGTACTGTTTTTGGTACTTGACATTTTTAGCCGAAAACACGCAACGTGCGAAATTATTTTACAGAAACTAAAGGATAATTTTTCTTTGTTTTTGTTTAACGTGAGTAGCCGGCGCTTGATACACGAGTAGCCGGCGAAAACGCCGGCCGCCGGCGCTTCTGGAGAACACTGCTAACCTAACCCAAACCTTTGTTTGGGTTAGGTTTGAGTCCTCCACTGGAGAGGACATGTCCCATGAACTTGACTTCAGGTTTTCTGAGGTTCATGTTTGATGGATTTCATTGGCATATACTGTTTGAGAGAGGTGCACCTCTTATACTGGATCCTTGCTTCTTCCACTGCCTGCTTGCTATATGGGTTATAACAGTGAAATAAATTGGCTGTTAAGCTTGCTAGGAATGGCCTTGGTTGGTAAAGTGTATCTCCGTCAGCAGAGTCGCAAGCTGGTATCTTAGAGTTAACTCTCAGATGTAAATATATATATTTATACCCAGGATTCTGTTTCTTGGCATCACCTTTGCAAATTCAGGGGTGCCCCAAACTTAGTGATGTTTCCAATACTCTATAAGTGATGACAAATAATGGATGCTCATGGCAATTACCAACCTCGAAAATAGTCTCCCTAAAGTCAGTTCTCTCCACAAGATGGGATTCCTTTTCCACTTGGACTTTGAACCGCAGACCATGCTGTTTGTAACAAAATTATGACAGATGTAAACAATGACATATCTTTTTGTAGATTACTAGATGAGTTATTATTAACAATCATAACCACTACAATCTCAAATGTGATTGTTGTATGTCCTGCTATATTCTCTCTTGTTATTATTCTGTAATCTGACAGTTGCAGCAGCAAATCACACTACGTGCACTCAACTGAATCCGCCATTCACAGAATTGATTACAATAACCATAAAAAACAACCACTTACTCTAAAATTCTGAGAAATTTCCACGAGAATTTTATATTCTAAACAATGGCTCTGTAGATATCAAAAGCCCTTCTTGAAGAAATTTATTCCTTTTTCTCTGAAATTGTTCTGCTTATGAGTTATTGGTAACAAGACTTTGTGTTGTCCAATTTGTCAGGAGGTATTCTTCCTCTTTAGGAGTATTGTTAGTAGCATATTGAGGAAAGAGAGGGCAATCTCACTTCTTTCCGCATTTCCATGTGCAGCAATGTATGAAGTACCGCCAGCTTTGTTGTGCAACTTCCTATCAAAGGCTTAATGCCCAGCAGTCAACCAAGGAAATATATCCCCGCATTTACAAATTAAGTGTTGGTTCATTAAGAAACCAGATGGTACAGCTTTGTGTTGCCACTGTTGGAGGAGGTGAAATATTGGGAAGAAGAATAACCATTTGCTGATCTATGGCATTCTCTTCCCAATTAAAACTGCCCTTGGCATTGAATTGTTCCTCCTTAAATGTATTCACTGCCAACCCACATGCACTTTTTTGAGATAAAAGAGTGTGGAAAACTTTGCCCAATTTCCCCAAACTGCTGTGTTGCAACAGTACCTCTTCAGCCTGTGCTTCCAACTTGCCTTCTTGAGGTCTCCATTGTGAAATGGGTTTGGGAAACTTTGTTAGCCTTTGTTTCCAGTGGGCTTTTCTTGCTCCATTCACTCAATTTGATGATGAATTTTTTCTTTGTAGTTTTTTTTCCCATCTGCTTGAGGTTATTGTTGGATGTATTGATAACAGGGTGCAATGTTGAATTCTCCTGCGAGGTATTGCCGGTGGCAATTTCCTCTGTAGATGGCAGTTTAAAGGGCAAGTTATCTTTCATTACTCCAGACATTTCCATGAACTGGTACCATTAAAAAATATACGGTAAAAGAGAAAACTTTATCTGATTTTAGATAAAGTGTTGATCAACTTTCAATCAGTTTTGCACTATGTGTATCAACAACAATTATTAGAGATGTGTACGCAGTTGACACCCTGGAAGTGAAGATTTCTTGAAGGCAAGCACCTACCATATTTAATACTTTGTAAATTACTCCTTGTTTCCCCCTAAAACATTCTTTGAAAGACTCGCTTAAGCTAAGGGAGTAGCTTCATTTAACTGCCTAGTTTTAGCCAATAACTTTTGAACTGGTCAATAGATTCAAGTGTGTGGCTTATTTTGCATTTGGAGTTTGAAACCCCCCAAAAAACAGATCACCTATGAACTAATATAAATACACTAAAGATAATAAATTCAAGAAAAGCATTTATGAAAAGGAAAAATGCCTAAGAATCACTAATAAATTTCTTAACTCTCGACTTTAAAATATATACATTATCAGAATGACAAATATCGAAAGGTAATTAAATCCACGTCAATTATTTGATAATTGCTATAACTTTGTCAATAACAGGTTTGAGGTTTGTTTCATTCAGGCCATGTAGCTATTCCTGGCAATGTGGATAATTTAATAACTGCAGTAAGGATGAAATTTATTTGGCTCTGTATGGCTTTTCACTATGCAGAATGTGTCAGTAATTCATATCCTTGAGGAGTGATTGTATATTTTACGCAAATTTTAAAAAGAAATGTAACGAAATAGGAGCTTCTGATGTTATACTAGCAAAAGATATGCCACTAATAATTATTAAAGGGTGTTTATGGATAAAGTCCAAATCTGCCTCTCGAAACCCCACGTAATTGCCACTCTCTTCAGGAAATGTTTTCCGTATGGCCGTGACGATGCATGCTGGCATGATTCTCCGCCGGTTTTTTTTTCCTTAAAGCCCATGTGCCCCCCAGGTAAACTGTCTGTAGCCTGCCAAACGCCAAGTTCTAGAGAACAAAATGATATAATGTCACAAAAGTGATTGACTTAATTACGCTTACAGAAAAAGAAAGAAAAAGACAGTTTACCTGTTGATGATAGGGTCGGGAATTGGATTGAGCCGTGCATTCTGGATTACGACCAATGCTGTGCTTAAAACACCCTTGTCCAAGCGTACAATGCCAAATTTTGGATGTTCTGTTACGAATCTAACATCTATTAGTACCCAAAAAGAAGAGAAAATGTCTTAAAATTTTCTTTCCCTCACTTTCAATAATTTTCATTCATCAGACCTTGTAGGTGACCTTTTGTCACTCTTAGCAAAGAAGTGGCTGCTTCAAACAGAATACTTATGAGAATAATCACATAATAAGTCAAACCTGAATTGTTGCACTTCTGATTAAGCTCCTCTAGTTCTCGGCAGCAGTGACATTCATTTGCCACTGGCATAAGTGCATAAGCGCATAAGTGCACAACTGCCGCACAAACATCTAACATGAACATGGTGTTTCCCATCCTCGAACTAGTGTGTTCTTCTTGGGCTTCTGCCTTCTGTTCTACATTCTCTTCCTGAGGAGGTTCCTCTCCAGGCTAATATGTCGGTACAACCTGAACCGGTTCTATTCCGCTTACGACAAAGAGTTGATAAAGAAGCAATTTGTGTTTAAATTTGGCCAAACAAGAACACGTCCATAAGTGCTCCCCATCACATAAAAAGAAATGATGGTTGACTTGGCAAGAATGTCTCTTCTAAGACAGTTTGGGTAGACACTGGGTGACCTATCATATAGAGGCAACATAACTGTTTATACAAACCACAAAAAACTGTTTGAAACTCTTGATTTAAATTATAATAAATGTCGTAATAATAACTTTATTTCTGTTCTAATACATATAGCAGTTACCCACTAAGTAAGGACTCCTATTCAAGACCTAATACAAGACTCAAAATAATAAATAGCATAAATAAATTAAACATGTAAAAAAATTATTTGTATATGTAATCACATGAGGCCAAGTACTATTAAGGATTAATTGCACTTGAGTTTTCAAAATTTTCCAAATTGCCCTCGTCGCTTCGCGACTCGGGCAATTTTGGAAAATTTTGAAAACTCAAGTGCAATTAATCCTTAATAGTATGAGGTCTCATGGGATTACTTGTTTATCAATAAATGGCAAAATTTATACGAAGGAAAATCACGCGCGCAGTCTATTTTTAACAAATTTCAAGATAACGAACGGTTGCTATGCAACAGATTAGCCAATCATTAACAGGTAATCATGCGCCTCTTGATTACTAAAAATGCCCTCGATTAAGAAAAAATGCCCTCAATTAAGAAAAAATGCCCTCGATTAAGAAAAAATGCCCTCTCTCTCAACCGATCAGCGCTCAGTAATTTTGCCCTTTATTGATAACAAATGTAATCCTATAATGTATAAATGTGTCGAATTGTAGCATACCAAGGTGAAATTTTGCAGTCATTTGTTGAGATAAGCTTATCTAGAGCTTGTTTATCTGCTGTTTCATTTAGAATAATAAACAAAGAAGCAAAGAAAATTGTATTATTTGCTACCTTTGAGCTAATGCATTGCCTTGTTTACTGTTGACTGACAAATGAGCCATAGTTGTAAATGCAAAACCCCTATTTAATAGTAAAAAGCAAGGTGTGACAGTTAGGCAATCCTCTTTGATTTCAGTAACCTGTCTCACCAGTATGTTCATTAAAGTACAGTTAGCCTAAAAAAAATACCATGATATACCTGGTTCAGAAATGCTGTCTCCATCACAACTTGCCCTTACCACTGGTCTTTGAATGCAATCATCGTGCATCTGGTTCACTTCTTTAGCACACACATGAAGATCTACAGGTTTGCTTCTTTCCTCATCTGAAGACTCTTCTCAAATCTGTCGAATATTCCATTGACCAATTTTTTTTTGTTGTAGGAAAGAGCTAAATGCTGCCTGTACAATCTAGTAGAGACGAAGTCTTGGCAATGCTTGCAGAATATATTTGTTATACATGGGAATTTTCGATAAGAGCCACAAGATTTTGCATCATTTGCATCATTCACATGAGTGTTCCCAAACGCCAGGTGATTGGCAATCCCAGCTTTTGTCTCGTTGCATTCGGCGTAGTCCCTGGCCGAAGGTACACTGAAGGTCTCAAAACAGCAACCCCACTTAAAGCTGACTTAATTTATCACACCATATATGCATATTTTTAATTTACACTAGGCTACATAAATATGGTGCCTGGGATTGCAAAGAAACTGTCTTACTGTGAGACTCGGAGATCTAGAGTGATCATTTTTGCCCAAACCAGACATCTTCTTTGGCAGTTTTCGCCTGTACTTCTTTCAGTTATCAGTTGTGGCGGCGAGAAATACGCCAAAAATTTGACACTTTCTGGAAGGGCCTGGGCAGAAGTCCTGTGGTTCATGCGGTCATTCAACAGGATTGTCTGCGCGCACTTCTACTTTTACGTTACAAGAAGAAAATGGTGGTAGTGGCTAGCAACACGAAGTTTACTTGGGTAGGAATATTTTTCCTTTCTACTTGGATAATATTGACACATTCGCCATGATAAATGCAAGTTATTTTCACCTTACATTCTTGTCTGTACTTGAAATATTTATTTGGGGTGAAAGAAATAGCTTTGAATAAGCCTTGAAAACTCAAGGGCTTGGAAAATTGGATTCCCGTACAGTCCAAGAACAAATAAGTGATCACTTTAAAACTCTTTTGTTGGTCATTGATTTTAGCAAACTGGGTAGCTCCTACGGGAGCCGTTTTTGTTTTGAGTAAGCAATACAGGGTTACTCAGATCTAGGCAGGGTGTCTGAGCTCTGCAAAGTATTTATTAGATCTTGTTTTCTTGTTTTGGCGTGGAGTCTCTTCCCTGTTCTCTGCTTAAGATTAAGATTATTAAGATTAAATAAGATCTTTTGACAGGGAGCCCACGTCACAAAGTGTGGTTTTCAGTGAGGCCCTGCATAAATCTAACGTAAGGATAACAGAAAATATAAATATGGTTATCAAGAATAGGATAAAAGGGTATAATCAATAGAAGAGACTACATGTTCTTAACAAGACGTCTAAAAACTGAAAAATCGGAAATGTTCCTAATGCGGTCTGGGAGAGCGTTCCAGTCATCTACTGCATGACAAACAAACCGATGCTGACCCCATGTACGCTTTGATTGTGGTTTACAAATGTTGTTATTAAAACGAGTGTTATAATCATGTATATCTTTAAAATGATTAAAATTAAAATTCCAATCAATTAGTCCATTCAAGGACTTAAAAACCAAAAATAGACGATGTGATCTTCGCCTTTTTTCCAATGTATCCCAACCAAGTAGATCAAGAGCTTCTGTTGCTGATGAATGCTTTGGCATATCTAAAATTAATTTAGCTGCTTTATTCTGGAGTAATTGGATCTTTTTCATCAGAGTGGTGTTGGATTTATCCCCCCAAGTCACATCTGCATAATCAAGGATTGGCAGCACCATGGCTTTTACAAAGAGTTCCCTTGTATTTCTTGGCAGATGTTTTATTCTCTGTAAAACGCCAAGCCTCTGAGACACTTTGGTCTTAATGTAATCCACATGATCAGTCCAAGACATATTCTCATTGATAATTACGCCCAGATACTTGAACGAATTGACTCTGTCTAACTCCTTCTCCTTGATTATTAATGTGAATTCTTCTAAGGTGTTAAGTTTCCTTGGACCGCCAATGAGCATGAATTTAGACTTCGAGATATTTAGTGTAAGTTTATGCTCGTAGAGCCACTGAGCTAGCCTGTCTAGATCCTGATTCAACATGGTCTGTAGGTCACGGGCTGATTGAGAAGAGCAGTAGATAGCACACCCATTCCACAAAAAGTGGGCCCAATGTCACTTGGAAAATCGAAAAAAATCAGTTTCACAGAAAGTACGTGGCGAATCATTCAATTTAAAGCGCAAATATCGAAGAGTAAATACCTCAAAAATTAGCACCAAAGGTCATATATTTCCGTAGTTATGAAACATTTTATTGTACTTACTTGAAAATCACTTTAGGCAAAAAAATCACCGATCTTTAAAATAATTTTCCACTTTTTTAAGTTCTCGTTTTTAAGTTATTCAAAATCAACGTAGTATATACTTAATACAGGGCAACATGTAAATAAAAATCATACTATTAAAGTGCTCTGCTCCTACAAAGAAGAAAATATAGAGATCTAAAAATAATTTAAACCGTCTGAAATTGTTTCTTTTTAAAATAAGTTTTTTTATAATTATACTATATTCTTCTTCAGAGGAAGAAGAAAGAACAACTACGTTCTTTTACAGAAGCTAAGACCATGCCATTATATTCTTCAAGTCTGTTAGGACGTACGTATAGACCTTTTCTTGAAATTTTAATCATAAGCTTGGTAACGGAAGTTACAAAAAAAGTAACGGAAGTTACAAATGAGTAAGCTATGACCTGAAACTTGTTTAATACCTTAGCTGCCATATGGCACGAATTTTCACGAAGGAAAACATAAAACTAATCGCCTTCCTTTCAATAAACGTTACAATTAAACAATCTTCTAAAAAAAATTACATCATTAAATCTTCTAAATTACGACATTTGCATATCAAACAAATATTTTATGTCAACACAGTACGTAAAACCCTTTCTTGTTAAGAAAAACCTTTCATTGAAGATATGAATACATGAATCAAAATAGTTTTAAAAGAAAAACATGACTAATACTTAAAAAGCTATCTGTTTAATTGATTGACTACCAGTAACGGTAGTTACAAATTACTGATTGGTTGATAGCCAGCCATCAAATAGATCTGTGATCATTTGGATTGTCTGATCATTAAAATGGAAGTGGCGATTTGACCTTCCACAAGACGAGGGCTCTTCAATGACTCCCAGAATCTTGTCAAAGTCCACCCATATTTCATCTGGGCTAGTTGGCCACCTGAAGCTGATTGGTCTTGCGTTAGTCTGTTGCATGAAACTGATTTGAGCATCATTTGCATCGCTGTCAACCATCTGAACTTTTCCAACGTACCAGTTCCTCTCGTATACGGCAGCCACCCAATCACCACATTGAACCTTGACAGGGGCCTTATTTACATCTAAAAATAAAAGACGAAGTTTTTTTTAATAGCATTATATATAACAATGAAATACACGTTAAAAAGCAGTTGTCTCTACTCTCAACATACCCTCTTCACTGATTGGCTTCATACGGAACTTCTTCCATCCACATGCCGAGTCAGGCAAGAAAGTGCCATCTGAAAAACAGTTGACACAGAAACATGATGTGTTTCTTATGGCCACATATCCTTCCATACCATTAACAGGAATGACGGCGTGAAGCTTCATGGTGCCTTCCACTGATTGGAGGTTTCCAAAGCTATCTATGGAAGTCTGGGCGTCAGAACATTGCTCTTTTGAGACGAACAGGTATTTGATGCTGCTGTTCTCCTTTTGTGCCTGCGTCCAGAGAAAGAAATCATCAGCGTCTTGGATGGTGGCCTTCTGTTGCTTCACAGCTTCATCAGCCATTCTTTTCGTGGTTCCTCCGACCCCATCGCAGGGACCCTTTCCATGGCCCGCCTCAAAATAATGCCAGGATGCCGGAATCCCAAACTCCTTCTCGTGCTGGGTTAGAATGTGAAATATGGTCTTGTTTCTATACTGTGAGGTAGGGCTGTCAGTGAAATAGTGTATGTATTTCACTTCTGGCACAATGGACTTCAGCTCTGGGACCAGCTTTCGCAATATGGCATACACGGTGGAGGAATTATGGGCCAGCTCGTCTGATATAAAGACGGTGCTCTGATGGATTAAGGAGCCGTTCTCATCATTGAAGTAGGCAACAGCTGGATGGAGTGTGACCATTGTGCCGTTCCACCAAGCAGATTGGACTTCCTCGACGGACTGGCAGGTATAGTTCTCTGCAAAGTCCATTTGTACAATCATATGGCCTTCAGGAAGATTGCTCTTAAGTTCTTTTAACTGGCCGTACTGGGCTTTAACGCGTTCAGCGTGGGCTTCAAATTCTGTAATTTCTTTCTTAAAGATCTTAATAAAATCAGCTTTATCTACTTCAATTTGCACGATTCTCATTTTTTTCTTCCCTTCCACATCAACTCGCTTCCATTGGCTGTACTTTACTTTCGGCTCACATTTGCTTTGAAGTTCGTCATCAATGGAATTGTTTTCGTCATGTTTCATAAAAGCATCGGGACTAGTGTGAACCTTTATCCCCATTGCTTTCAGACAACGAAGCTTAAGTGCTACATTTTGGTGACGCTGGCACAGGCACGTGTTGCGGGATGTAAAAGATGTCGTCAGTATGTAGCTAGGGCGTAGCTTGCAAAAGAGTGAGCGCGAAATTTTTATTTCCGGATTCTCGGCTTTGAATTTGGCATAAAGATTGTCAAGGTAGTCGTTGAGATACCTCTTTTGGATCTTGACGCCTTCGTGCTTCTTATAATCAGCTTTCCCTGGCATCATTCGAGAGTTGTCATCTCTTGAGAGAAATTCAACCACTTTTTCTGTGATTTGCCTGCGAATAGTTGTGACCCTATTCTCCTGAGCCTTGGCCTTATTTTGGAGGGATCGTTTTGAAAGGCCAGTTTCTTTTTTGAGTTGTCTGAGAAGACGATACCTCTGCAAGATTTTCGAACCAGCCAAGATAGTTGGTGCGGCTTTCCTCTTTGCTTTGTCTTCAGAGGTGGACTGCCTGACCTCTTGCATCAAGGTGTTCGCAAACACAAGTTTCCGTTTGATGACTTGTGGCACGGATCTTGGGCTAAGTCCTGCTTCTCGCAGTTCAGCCCTTGACCTGCTTCTAGGAGTGTTTGCACTTGGCTTGCCTTTCTCTTTACCTTTTGATGACCCAGATCGCTGAATTCTCTTCTGTAGTTTCCACGTTTTGTTTTGCAATTTTTTGTTTCTTTCTTCAAGCTTTTCAATCTCCCTGTGTGCCTTAGACAGTGCTCTGCTAACTCTTTTTCGTGTAGCGCTTGCTTTTTTTGCTTTATTAAAGTTGAACTTTACCATCAAATGGGGCACTTTTTCAGCTTCTTTAGAGGCACTCCGGGTTTGACGTTTTTGAGTGGATGAAGCTTCTGCTGCTCTTTCGATGGCACACTGTTTTTCTTTCTGTTCTTTCCGGTATTTTTCCACCCGGGCTTTTTGGTCCAGTCTTCACTTCTTAAGGGCATTGTCATCCAAATTTGCAGCAGGTATGTAGGCTTTTCTTTTCTTGTCCTCTCTTTTCCACGTAATCTCTCCCTTCTTTCTGTTTTTGCCTTTCACGGTAAGCCTTTTGAATCTCTGCACGACTTTTTGGCATCTGCGATCGTGTGAAGAGTAGGTCCAATTATGTCACGCAACGATTCAGTTTTATTATTTAAATACGCCGTTTAAAATTGGTTTATTCATAAATATCTCTAAACGCCTACAGCTTAAACATTTAGATATGATTATTTTTACGATATATTCTACTCTGATGTTCAAAATTTTCATTCTTGTGACTCCAAAACCCGTTTTAAGGCCCTAACAAGCCACTTCCAGTTTTTGTAACTTCCGTTACATTTTTACTGTCTGACAGAAAACGAGGCTTTTAGCCAAAAGAAAACGTCAATGCAAATAAATTTTGTATGTACATCATATTGATACTACTCACCTTTGGATTTTGTCAATTTCGATGAACGACTGACAATGAAAAATTGAGAAATTTGTAACAAACGCTTCGGTCTTGGCGAATGTGTCGCAATACGGCAACGGAGGGGTTGTTGCGTAACACTGGAATGTCAATAATGTCAGTCATGTTTATTTTGCCGCGACTTTAGACAGCCAGATGATGTTCCAAAGTGCAACTCAACCAAAGGACGCGTATTTAAGATATTCCAAAATAAATGGTAACGGAAGTTACAGTAACGGAAGTTACAGTTTGAGATCTTTTGTGCCTCCACTTCTTTCCAAGACACAAGCCAGTTAATATAAGTCTGTGAGCTTACTGATTGTAGGTACCTTCGTACTTGCACAGAACATTTTGAAGCAAAGGAACTTTTGTTTTCGCTAAACACTGGTAACGGAAGTTACATTCTTAACCATACGGTGCTCTTCGGCCTCATTCAAAGGGAAGTCTATCATTGCCACTTGTAGAAAAGGAGGTGATGACTTAAAATATTGAAACTGCGATGAAACAATAAGTAATTGACGGTAAGAAGAGATTATACAGGGATTTCTAACGCAGTTAAATTACTTTTTCTTATTTCGGTAACGGAAGTTACAAAGAATTTGTGGACATCAATTCTGTGACTACTAAAATCGGACTAATGCAGTGCACTATGAAACATCAAAATTTATTTTAAGTTCATTTACTATTGGACGGTTTACACATATCGATTGTTTACCCGGGATCATTCAGAGGTTTATAATCAAGATGTTTGTTCTACCGCTCCATCGTGGACACTGAAAAAAAGTACTTTTAGGGGGTTTTGAGCTCCAAATGCAAAAAAATGGTATAAGATACATACGACTTTGCATTTGGGGCTTTGAACTTACCATGTCTACTCTACCTGGGCACTAAAAATGTACGGCTATAACTTTTCTTGTGGCCTCCGCAAAACAAAGACATTGAAAATGGCCATTGGGCCCACTTTTTGTGGAATGGGTGAGCAGTGTCATCAGCGAATAAGGTGACCGTAGTGTTCCGAAGGACCTTGGGTAGTTCGTTGATGTAAATGGCAAATAGTAATGGACCGAGAATAGATCCCTGAGGAACACCAACGGAAACCTTCCGCGCAGGAGAAGAGGCTTGACCAATCACAGTCTTCTGGTAACGAGAGGATAGGTAGGAATGGAACCACTCCAGATTCTTGCTGCGTAATCCTAGAGATTTGAGCTTCCCGAGTAAAATGACATGGTCAACGGTGTCGAAGGCCTTCTTCAGATCAATAAAAACTACACCATTTACTAAACCTTTATCCATATTACTTAGCACTTCATCGGTAAACTGCGTTAGAGCTAAAGCGGTAGATCTTGCACGTCTAAAGCCAAACTGGTTCACAGCAAGCAGATTGTTGGAGTCAAGGTAGCCGTAAAGTTGAGAATGAACAGCTCTCTCAATTGCTTTACTGACCGTGGGCAGGACAGAAATGGGACGATAGTTATCTTTATCGGACTTATCACCTTCTTTGAAAAGAGCAGTCACTTTCGCACATTTCCAAGATGATGGGAATTGACCCTTCTCAAAAGAGAGGTTTATGATATCCCGCAGAGGTGAAGCAAGTACATTTGCTGCATCACGGAGTAAACGTGCACTAATGCTATCTAGTCCTACCGCTTTATTGGTTTTCATTAGGCGCAGCTGCTTTTCAACAAAGGCTGACGTCACATACTTGAGAGAGAACGATAAGGTAGGAACTGCATCGTACTGAGTCGGTTTTAAACCACGAAAGGCCTTTGCAAGGCTCTTGCCGATGCTTGAAAAGTGATTGTTTAGAGTTTCTGCAATGCCTTTGGGGTCAGTCTGCAATTTTCCATGACTGATGATTTTCCATAAGAAGGGCGATGAGTTGTTCTTTCTTAGTTGACTTTCAGTCATTGCTGGTGGCAATGGAGTAGCTGGTGGAACTGAGGTTGAAATTCTGGCAACTTTCTTTGCTGCCGCCTGCTTGCCACCATCATTCCAATAGCATCTATCCCTCTTCTTATACTGCCACTTTACTCTCTCCCGCAGCTCTTCCTGCCTTTTTCCACAAGCAAAAGGTTTGTAGCAGCATTCCATCTGTTGATATTAGGGTGAAATTAGTGCCGCAAATCATCATTCTTCATCTCTGCACCTGTTGCGAAATTTTTTTGTCAGTGTAAATGACATGATTCATTGTTTTGCAGTGTATTTTGTGAAATGAACATTAAAATTACAAACATGACTGGCCTCTTACAATGTCCAACAAATGCCAAATCATAAATATATCTTGAGTACTATTGCAATGGATCACTAGAGTAAAGAAAAGATTTGTACCTTGGCCACTAAAAATTTTAAGACTTTCATGTTTTTGCAACATTACTGGGACATGGTACACCAAGTTGTGCATGTATGGGGTGATGATTATGGTCTGAGAATACCCAGGACCGGTGCCAGACATATCCATTATCTGTTTTCCCCACCTTTGTGCCTGCAAGAGTAAACAAACTTTTTTAGTTACATGATGATGATGAAAACCTTTTTAAAGTGAGAGTAACACATGTGCACATAATAACTAGAAGCTAAAAAACAAACAACCAAACATATTGGCAAGTTTATGAGCAAGATTGTGCTTGTATGTTTCATGTGTTTTCTAACCTTGGTTTCAAATTCTGTTATGTCATCATCTGACTAATTATCTTTGTTCAGGATGTCTAGCACCTCTCTTAAATTCCGAAATGACAAGGAAGCAAGATGATGATTAAGTTTTTATAGAGTACATGAAACAATGTGATGAAGCCTCACCATACTTACTTTCCACAATTGTTTTGTATACTCCACTTTTTCAGGTTTTGTTGGCCCATCTTGGTTCAATTCCTTTTAAACTCGGATGTCTGAAAATAGCTGCAATTATGGTTCATATTGATGAAAATCATTAACCCAACAACATCAGTTAAAAAACGCACAAATTTGTCCACATTCAGTTCTTAATTCATATCTCAACAAATATTTACAGGAATAACACCTACAATATGTCATTTTAAAGTGTATAAAATGGGCTTCTCAGGAAAAAAAAATTCATCATTGAAACCCAGGACTTTCCTAAAAAGTAAAATTTAAAACACAAAATAAGTAAGACATAGTGTAAAACTTGAGATCAAAGTCACTTTTCCTCATAGGTATAGGTTACTCAAGATTAATTGATAGCAGAAGTTAATTATTGACATGTCAGCAACATTTCCTAAAAATCTGAAAGAAAAAGAATAAATAATGAATTTTTTATGAATTTTTATGTGCACCCATGTCATTCCAAAAAAATTAGTAGGAAAAAAAATGAGTTGGGAAATTCGACTTTATAACAGGAGGATGGGTAGGCCCTGAGGTGTTACTGGGTGAATGAATTTGCCTTTTAACATCCCTACCAACTAAAGAGGGTCCTTCCTGAGAAAACTAGGACCAAATCACAACTATTCCCACTGACAAAGATAAAAGCAACAAGGTAAAAAAAGTTAATTTTTGTGTTGATATTTTTTAATTGTTAATTTTTCGTTGTTGATATTTTTGAGAAACACAACATCTAAAAACATTGGAATAAACAACAGCAAAATTTACCTGTGGTAATTCTTAGAATGAAACACTGCAAAACAATCCCAACCATTACTGACATGCATATACTTTTGACATTGAGGGGCATTGCAATAAGATCGAACCCTAAAATCTCCCTTACCCTCTTTATAACATACCACCCAGCGTCTCTGAGTGTCAGAGAAAACTGGGATATGGTTAGTTGTAAAATCCTCTGGGGTGGAAGCGGGTGATTTCACCGTGGTATTCTCTGGGGGACTACCATCATCGGGGAAACCACAGAGTTGCCTAACAATTTCTTCCCGGTAATCACTCAAAGAAGAATGAGAGGGCCTTTTTAGAGCTTCATCGTCAGGAAACTGAGTCTGATGCTCTTTGAAAAGGATAAAGCCATTGACTACAGCCATGTCAATTAGGTGGAAAACCATATTTTTCCACCACTTCATGATCTTATATAGTACGGTATTTGTGGCTAGAATTTGATCAGAGTGGTCGACCCCATTCATATATTTATTGTAATTAGCAATAACTTTAGGTTGTTGTACTTCCCTTATGGCCCACACATCATCATCCTTTCTTTTCCTGTTGACAAAACCATGATCATTAGCTCTCTCTATCGTTGATAACAATGATACTACTTTGCCATCCACCCACTGAAGAACCAAACAAGGAGGGTCCCTTACCCAACACATAGCATTCCTCTCTTTATTAGGAACCCATGGTACACCCTTTTTTGAAGGTTGTGTCAGATCTTGTGTAGTATTTTAAATACAATTTGATGTCGAGCCATTCACTTATATCTATCACATCCATTGATTTCTTGAGAAGGAAATGATCATTTTCTCCTAGAGGTTCTGTCTCAAGCTGCGGTGACTGTAGAAAGCTAGGGAACTTACTCTAAAAGCCTTGAAAGTTAGTACAATGTTTAAAATAATGGAGTTCATGAAAGGTAAGTAACGCTCGTTCCTGTGGATTTTGCACCAAATGCAGCTATTGTTAGACGTTGCTCCTTTCATACCCATGGCTAGCAGAAGGAACTGTTATAAAAGTGAAACAGTGGAGATCAAACTGATGCCTGAAACTTTTATGAATC